TGGTTGTGGCGATTCGGAGTAGAGATGGAGAGTTTTTGGAGAGATATTATAGGGGCCAAATATGGTGTTTTGGAGGGGAGATGGTGCTCAGGTGAGAGACGTGGCTCTTATAGGGTGAGTTTGTGGCGGTATATCTGGCGAGGTTGGAGCGACTTTCGAGATCGGTTGTCTTTTGTGGTGGGAAATGGAAATACCATCAGCTTTTGGGATGATTGTTGGTGTGCAGATCAACCGCTTAAGGTGGAATTTCCTTCTTTGTACCGTATTCCATTGGAGCCGTATGCCATGGTGAAGGATGCTTTAGATATCCATAATGAGAGCTCTAGTTGGAACATTGTTTTTGGTCGGGGCTTGCAGGACTGGGAATTGGATGATTATGGGCTGCTTTTGACATCTTTATACGAGGTACATATCACGGCGGGAGAAGGTAATTGTAGTAGATGGAGGTTGACACGAGATGGTATTTTTTCAGTTCGCACTTATTTTAGATCCTTATTGGGTCCTGTAGAGAGTTCATTCCCCTGGAAGATGATTTGGAAGTGTAAATTGCCCCCACGCGTGACATTTTTGCTATGGACGGTAGTCAGAGGACAAGTATTAACGGTGGATAACCTCCGTACAAGGGGTTTTTATGTCACAAAGTGGTGCTATATGTGTATGAGGGATGGGGAGACGATTGATCACTTGTTCCTTCATTGTGATGTTGCTCGCTTACTGTGGAACGATATTCTGGTGTCGCAACACATGGATTGGGTGTTACCGAGGCATATGGAGGATATGTTAAAGGCATGGAAGAGAAAGTTTCGAGACAAGTATAGCAAACTTGTATGGGACCTTATTCCGGGCTGTATCGTTTGGTGCGTGTGGAGAGAACGAAACAGTCGATATTTTGAAGGCCAATCACAAACAATAGAGCAGATTAGGGAATTGTTTTATTTTACATTGTACACTTAGTGTAATGTTGCGGCTACTAGGCATATAGATGGGTTGCCGAACTTCATGTTGTTACTTTCCGATTTAACTTGATAATACACTTCATGTGTATTATGCATTGATTAATAAAATATTTGATTACCTTTCAAAAAAAAAGGTGGAAAGAAGGTTAGCGAGGTGGAAGCGTATGTATCTCTCGAAGGGCAACCGTCTTACTCTCATTAAATCTACTCTATTAAATATCCCTACTTATTTTTTGTTACTGTTTCCTATCCCTGTTGCAATGGCAAATAGATTAGAGAGAATTCAAAGGGAATTTCTGTGAGCAGGGTTGGGAGAGAAGAGGAAACTTCATTTGGTCAAATGGGAAGTTGTTTGCTCTTCTATGAGGATGGGGGCCTCGGATTGAGGAGGCTCATTATGTTTAACAAGACATTATTGGGTAAGTGGCTGTGGCGATTTGGAGTGGAGTGGAGAGGGTGAGCTTCTGGAGAGAAATCATTGGGGCGAAATATGGGTGATGGAGAGGGGTTGGTGTTCGGGTGAGTTTGTGGGTCTTATGGGGTGAGTTTGTGGAGGTATATTCGACAAGGTTGGAGCGACCTTCGGGACAAAATGACTTTTGTGGTAGAGAATGGTAATAATATCAGTTTTTGGGATGACTGTTGGTGTGGAGCAATATCGCTAAAGGTGGGGTTTCCTTGTATCGCATTACTATGGTGTTATCTGCTTTGGTGAATGACGTTTTAACCGTCCATAATGGGAATTACAATTGGAATATTACCTTTCAGAGGGGTTTGCAGGATTAGGAACTGGATAATTATGCACTGTTTTTAACCCATTTGTATGATGTGCAAATTCGGGTTGGAGAGGACGATCGTAGCCGATGGCGGCTGGCACGGAATAGTATTTTTTCAGTTCGCTCTTATTTTAGAATCCTTTTGGGACCTGTGGAGAGTTCATTCCCCTGGAATATGGTGTGGCAATGTAAATTGCCTCCACGGGTGTCATTTTTACTGTGGGCGGTTGTCATGGCACGGACATTAACGATGGATAACCTTCGAATAAAAGGCTTCTATGTAACCGAGTGGTGCTACATGTGTAGGGGTGATGGGGAGACGCATGACCACTTGTTCATTCACTGTGACGGTGTTCGTTGGCGGTGGAATAATTTTCTGGCTTCTCAACATATAGATTGGGTTCTGCTTAGATGTATAGAGGACGTAGTGCGGGCATGGAGGAAAAAGTTTCGTGATAAGAATAGCAAATTCGTATGGAATCTTATCCCGGGATGCATTGAATGGTTTGTGTGGAGGGAAAAGAACAACCGATACTTTGAAGACCAAATACGAACCACATAGCAATATAAAGAATTATTTTAACTGACATTATATACTTGATA